AAAACAAACAAACCTTTGAGTCTGGACTTTGAATCACTCAAAATCGGTCAGAGACAGTTCAGAGTCATCTTGGCTGTTTAGGCCAAGTCTTTGTGCCCCCTGGGGTTTGACTTGTGGCATTTATTTATTCAAAATCCAAACTAAAAAAAAAAAAAAAAGGTTCGTGCAGCATTAAGAGTGGATTACCACTGATGTCTCCAGCACCATCAGGGTACCAATTTAAAAAAAAAAAAAAATCAGAGCTAATCAATAACTCTCAGTCAAACCATCCAGATTATAAACATCAGTCAATCTACATCAACTCCTGATGCTGCAGGAAACGGATCAGACCCCCAGGGAGTGGCAACTTCTTCAACCAACGGCGACCAACCAGGTGAAGAATCTGCAGCCTGCAGAGCTGCAGCAGTGAGCGCGGTGGAGCTGAAACAAACAGACTGGTTAGCCTGGAAACACAGTAGAATAACTATTAACACTGAAATCAGTAAAATTGCAGAAGAATCAATTATCACTTTTTGATTTACCCGCTTTCTCCTTTATGCAGGTCCATTCAGAGTAACTGTCCAGGTGTTCCATCAGTCTGGAGCAAAGAGTCACATGGCCGACGTAATCCAACAAGACATCAATAATTGGCCCCGCCCATCGAGAGATACTGGGGACGGATATCATCTCACAGAACTGTCAGTCCGTGAGTGTATCAAACAATTAGTTACACCTTAACTTTATCGTGAGGTCACCTGAAGGCCGTACTGTGATTAGGCAGTAAGGTTTTGCCAGGTACTTTCAGGTATTACCCAAGCATACAGCCCAACTGCATGCACTCAGAGCTAGATTCAGATAACCTGGCTTATGTACAATGTTAATGATCACTGTTAGATAATAAAAAGTTATCCTGGATATGTCTTTAAATGTCCCCTTTTCACACACATTAACAAAGTCTTTAAATACCCCGTTTCAAACAAGGCCACCTGAGTAGCTATGGTAATGGTTTTGTTGTTTTGATTTTTACCTAGATTTGTTTCATTTTACCAGATAAACATAAAATTAAAAGGAAAAATAGAGGTCACCTGAATGCCTCTTCTTGGGACAGCTTGGTCGATATCATGGAGTTCATCCCTCTCTGTTCGACTGGTTTTGATTGGTGGGTGAGGACGACTGCCATACACACAATTGAAGCAGGAAAGGGCATTGCCTCCATGGTCTAGCAGGTACTTGAACATAGGCAGGTACTTCATTGAGAACATGTACACGGCAGGGAAAGTAGTGGGGTGGGTGGGGATGGTAGCATTGATCTCAGCGCCGTGTTCTACAAGCAGTGTGATGGTCTGGATGCAGCCCTGCCTTGCTGCTACCATCACAGGCTTGAACACATCCAAGTTTGGGTTAGCGCCAGCAGTCAGGAGCATTTGCACAGCATCGATGTTGTCGTTGATAACAGCAAAGTAGAGTGCCGTACTACGGCGGTCCTCGTACAACCTAGACCACTCCTCTGATAGTTGGGTGTTGACATCGAACCCTGCCCCGATTAGAGTCTCCAGGACATCATCACGGTTACGCTCTGCTGCCATGTGCAGAGGGCTAATGCCAGTCCGCCGGACTCTGGCCTTACTGGTGGCCGGGATCAACATGGAGACTATGCTGGGAACAGGAAACGCCTAGCAATTAGCCTAAACTGATACACCTTAGTGACGCTTACGGACAGAAACACTTGGTCACTTACGATCAGAAACAGCTGGGGCATTTACAGTCAGAAAAACAATGGCAACTCACAGCCAGAAACATTTTATCCACTTACAACCGGAAACACCTCGGCCCTGTACAAGCAGTAAAACCTAGTGCCCTTACAATCAGAAACACTTGGGCCGCTTACAACTAGAAACACTTCACCACTTATGGCCAGAAACATTTTGGCTACTTAGCACCAGAAAAATCTGGGTCACCTATGACCAGAAACACCATGGCCAGAAAGAATGCCACTTGTGCCCAGGAACATCTGGGCCACTTGTGGCCGAAACCCCATCGCTACTTTGGTCTAGAAACACTGGGAACACTTAAGGTTAATGCTGTTGCTCCCTAAAATTGCTCCAGATACTTAAAACCTGGATGAGTCAAGGTAGCCACACTTAACACAATGCCACTATTAAATACCAAATTAACTCCAGTGAGTCTGCACAACTCCGTATACATTTCATAGTGTACCTACGTGTCACTTCCTCTCTGGGCGGCAACATGAAGAGGTAGCAGTCCCCTCTTTCCTGGTTTGTTGGCATCAGCGTTCTGCGAAATGAGAAGCTCAACGACTTGTTCATGTCCATTTTTAGTGGCTTCATACAGAGCTGTTGCGCCATCAGCTGCCTGGCTGTTGATGTCAGCACCTGCAAAATGGGAGATGGGGTGGGGTCAAATGTGGAGTTAATTCAGTGGCAACAGAGGTGTTCTGTGTGCAACAAGTTCATTAACCACGTTATTTACCATGTTTGAGCAGAAAACGCAGCGTGGCGAGCTGCCCACTCTGAGCAGCGGTGAAGAGTGGTGTGATGCCATACATGTTGCTGATGCTGTGTTTGGCGCCGGCCTTCAGGAGCATCTCACAGATGTCCAGGTTGTTTCGGGTAACAGCTTCCTGTAGTGCCGTCCACCCTTGAATGCAGCGAGTGTTCACCACTACTCCGTGGTTCAGCAACACTGCCACAATTGCTGGGTTGCTCCTCTCACAGGCTACAGGTTGGAAAACACATAAAAGGGACATCTTGATACATTCTCAATTATCCAGGTAAGTAAATCTCCAAAAGTTGATTCTGTTGTTCTGAACATAGTGTTTTCAGTCTCCCACTGAAAACGCTACGTCCAGATGAACAGAATCAACTTTTGGAGACATAAAAGGGACATTTCACCCAAACAAGAATCAGATGCAGTTGATTCAAGTTGAGACTCCTGCTGGTATGACTGCTCGGTCTATGTTTATAAATTGTCAATCTCCAAAATATAGTCCACGTAGATTAAAATTTCATGCAGAGCTGGTCAAATTGGTTGTTTTTAGTGGCTTGGTGAAGCTGTTCCTACTGGATGTCAAAGAGAGTCTAATCTCCTAATTAAAACTTATGAAGATGGGATAAAAATCCTACATTTAAAAAAGGTTAGGACCCTTTCATCCATTTGCACCATCATTTCTGTTTTTCTTTGGGGGGGTTTCTCTTCTCCATGTGTGTCCTGTCTCTTTTACCTTTGTACAGTGGTGTCTCCTTGTCATAGTTTGGGATGTCAGGATCAGCTCCTCTTCCCAGGAGCACCTCAACGCATCCCAGATGCTCTCTACTGACGGCAACCAGCAGTGCTGTCTCGCCATGTTCTGTCCTCTTGTTGATCATCCCAGGCTGAGCTGCTCAATCAAAAGACGGTATTACAGGTGTGCTCAGTTGTTCTCTGTAATTTTGAATAGGTGAACCTACCTGACAGCAGCATGCGCAGACAGGTTTCCTTGCCGAACCACGCTGCCTGGTGAACTGCCAGCCAGCCCGGTTTACTCGGCAGCATCAAGTTTGTTCCTGGGCACATTGCAAGTGCTTTCACTCTGCTTGCATCACCTTCACGGATTGCTTTGAACAAAGGTTCCTCCTCCCTGCAGTGACAAGACCAATCAGCCAACTGGAACACCTTGTTCAGAGGTGAGTCAAATGGATGTACATGTTAGGAGCAGAACTAAACTCACTCTTCAGGTTCGGGACAGATGTGGACCAGACTGCCATCATGTCTGCGATATGCCACCATCCTCTTCCCAGAACCCGTGACAAACAGACTGATTGTCCCATCAAATGTCTTCCTGACGAGACAGCAGCCAATTAGGACACAGTTCCAAAAAGAGAAAGCAATCAGAGCACAGTCACAAAGACAACAGCCAATCAAACTACAGACAAGGAAACTACAGTCAATGAGAACACGAAGACAGGATTTGCAGCCAATCAGGACACAGACACAGAACCTGCAGCTAATGAGAACAAGGACACAGGGTCTGCATCCAATCAGAACACATTCAATAACAATCAATCAATCACTCTACATGCAAACTCATCAATGATCCGAAGCTCTAAATATATTCAACTATCCACATACTTGGTCAGAAGAGACTAAGAATAAAAATGGAGGCTACTCACGGATCAGGAGGCTTTTGAGGTGGTGGGTTTGGTGAGCTGTAGTGTGCTGTGGTCTGTGCTTGAAATGAATTTTGAGCTCTGTGGCTTGGCTGGTTTGTGTTTATGGCTGCTGGGTTCAGTTTGTCAGGACAATGAGAAGGCTGGACACAGCTGGGGGTACTGGCACTGATGGTGTTGTTGGCACTGATGGTGTTGGATTCGGTGGTGTTGCCATGTGTGTCAGTTAGGCTGCGCTCAATTGCAAGCTGCAGCAGCTCTTCTTCACTCAGATTACTATAGAGAGAATAATCGTCAGCAGTCAGACTGGAAGCAGATGATGTGGAGCGAGAGATCCTGGGTCCTGCCATGATAGCACTGTAACAAATAGGAAGTGACACCAGTCAGATATTTATTGTTTCTAATTTAATCGTTTTATCACGTAAAGAAGCTGCAAAGTCTTTCTGAACATACTTTGTACAAACTCAGTGTTTGATGATTTAAAAAAATAATAAAATAACTACAACAAGGTTTACCTGCAAGTTTAAAAGCATGGAAACTCAAGCGCCCCCATGTTCACTACCAACAAATACTGAACAAACAGCTGCTAAAGACATGCTGGTAACACTTGGAGACATAAAGTGTAATATAGTTCAAAGTTCAAGTTCACCAGTTTAACCAGTTTGTGAAGCATTAATCTCTCAGATTATTTTACTGTTAAAGTTTTGTGTTTTTTACAGATCTTATCATCATCTGAGAACAGCTCTGATTGAAGTTGGTGGCACACTCACAGGGATCATTTTCATCAGGAGAAGAGTGGAATTACCCACAAAAAGCACCTTTTAATGTGTGCACTCAGAGCCTAAAGCAGAGAGCCCAGCTTAATGGAGAAAATTAATAACAACCATCTTGATGGCCAGATAAACAAACAGAAAGAAGGAAACTGAGATAAACAATGAGCCAGAAAAACAGAATGTCAGATTTCAGTCTAACAGCTTCAGTCACTGAAGTTGTTTACCACTGTCAGAAATCCAGTGTTTCCCTTGAGTTTCAGCTTCGTCCTTTCCTCAGTCTGTTCTCCAGCTGTCTGTCTGTAATCTAGTCTGACCCCAGCGTGGGGGTGGGGGTGTTACTTAAGTTTTATTTTAGGAAGCTGCTATCAGAGCTTGTTGACCGGTCCACCTCTTCACTGCTCTAATGTTGCAGGTGGAGTCACATGAAGCTGTATCACACAAACAAATGCTGAAGAGCTGTTTCACAAACTGGATCACCCCCAAAATAATCCCAGACCTGCTCAGAGCTACAGATTAACTTCAGGTTTAACTCTTTTTTCAGGATTTTGAAGTTGCTTCATTTACTAAGGTACATCACAATGTAGCAGACCTAACTTGCTCCAGGGCATCTTATTTTCCTAATTAGAGACTCAATGGCAGGAAAATTCCACTTACTGACCAATCAGACCTCAGGAAAAAAAAAAATCACTATTCCTAGATGATCCCCTAGAGTGCAGATAGCAGCAGGGACTAGAGGTTTTTAGGAGCGTCTAAAGATTCTTAGTGAAACTTTATTTCTGCTTTTTTCCTAATGGCCAAAAATGTCATTTAAAAAAAGATTTAATAACTCTATAAGCCTGACCCAAAGAGAACTAAGTATAAATCTACACCAGGACTGCAAGTGAAAGAATAAAAACTGTTAGAAACCAATCAGAAACATTACTTACCAGAACAAACAGCTGCCATTATCCTCACGATGGAGTGTCATAGTAATAGGTCTGCACAAGGCAAGAAAAACATAACCTTCACCTGTCAAGGATTGTTAAAGAATAATTCTCTATATGCAAGTGTATATTTAACACAAGTATGTATGTTTTTCTGTGCCTCAGTGCTTTCTATCTAATATTTATACTCTGATGAACACATCAGAGTGCAACCTCTGGGGTTAGTATCATGTCCATACTCTGACCTGCAGACTGGAGCAGCCAGGGATCAAGCCACCAACCCTCTAATTAATACATGACCTTCTCTATCTCTTGTGCTACAGCCACTACTAGACCATATTTAATGCAAATGTTTACGTTTTAAAAAAATTTCTGTTTATATCAGTGAAATTTTAGAGCTGCCGTGACTGAAATCCAAAAACTTTCCAGAATGAATCCCAGATCTGTCTCAAGTTACACCAGAGTTTTAACTTCAGCTCAGTCATAACTTTGTTTATTCAAAAGTCTCCACACAAATCCATGGATTGTTATCATGGCACGCGTGTGTGAGTGTGTTATTTTTAGACTGAGCTACTGAGGAAAGTAAGATCAGGCCAAAGACAAAGTGTAAGCGTTCAGACATTAACAGCGCGAATGCTGTTTACCAATCCTGGCTCAGTCTGACCTCTGCTGTCCTCTGATGTCCTTCTATGACCCTTTCTCTTCTCTTCACCTCCAACCAGTTTGAGGCAGTCTGAGGTTTTTTTATGTTAAAAGGGAGTTTTTCCTTTCCACTGTCACCAAGTACTGCTTATAGCATATCATCAGATAGTTGGGGGTTTCCCTCTAATAGAAACCATTCTGTGACAACTGTTGAAAAACAAAAGTTTATTTGAACTCTTTCTGATTTCAAACTTGGAATATGGTCAGAGGTGAATATCTTCCAGAGCAGCACACAGTAAACTCAACACACTAAGAATCAGCACATACAGAGGGGCTTAACAAAGGATGCTTGTGTCTTTAAAAACATAGAAAGCGTCACATTTCTGTGTCCTAAACAGTCTCAGATGTACCAGGTGACTTTAGATGGGTATGACTAGCAGTGAAGTTCAACATATCCAGGCTGTGTTAGCTGTTTCAATCAAACTTAAAACCCCAGTCAGAGGTTCTCAACGCATTCACATTACAAGGGACATTTTGCAGGTCATTTGACTCTTCTCCTGCACAAAACGACCGTTTGAGTTCCAACTTCTCCAAACAGAGATGTTATCAGATAATAATGACGATAAAATCCATAATGAGCATAAAGATCTAAAAAATAAGTAAATAAATCAGAAACTGGTTAAGCTCTTATTTGTGGCATAGAGCTGTAAAATAAAGATTTGAACTGCAGTTCAAATCTTTATCTGTCTGAGTGTGATCATTACTGCTATTTATTTCTAAGCTGATGGCTGCACATTAGAGCTTTGAGACTTTAATCTGGATCCATGGAAAAATGTCCTGCCCGGCAGGAGATCAGAGTGAATGAATGTGATTGGTTGAACACCTATTCTTGCTGTGCGTTTTGTGTTTCCAGCAGTGCGAAAGAGACTCAGGAGCAGATTCAAATTAGGTTGAAGAACATTTATATATTTTCTGCATTGCCACATGAACTCAAACTCTGAACGTAACCTGCTCCAAACCAGATGATCTGTTAAGTACCAGTTACCATGATGATTTAGTGAGGCAAAAAGCAACATCTTCATGAAAATAATACATTAATTTCACACTCCTAGGGTGAGTGAACACTTGACGTCGTATTGCAGGAAGCGAATAAGTCTGACAGGAAGTGGCAGAGTGTGAAGCAGTTTGAGTCGTTGGACTCCAACCAAGCATCGGATCTTCAGTCTGCAACGCTGCATCAGAGGATGAGGAGGTACTGAAGCCAGAACACAGAAAGAAGCATGGTATCAAGATTTCAACCAAACTGAGGATTAACAAGGATTAACAAACTTTACACTGAGAGTGCAGAGGGATGTTTTAAATGAACTCTGGAGACTGTTCTTTATTTTCTAAAAACTTAGGAAATTAATAATACATTTTATTTGACTTTCAGAACACTCAAAGAAACTGTACACAGCAGAAAAATAGAAAACAAGCATAAAAACAGGCAATTTACGGAATCATAAAACATAAAAGAGATTAAAATAGCAGAATAGAAAAGATTATGTGGGATAAGCTATTTTGAATTTTGAGTTCATTTTGAGTTTTGAGAATTTTGAGTTTTGAGTGTAGAATTCCAAAGTCAAGGAGCAGAGAAGTTGAAAGCCCTGCTCCCCATGGTGGCAAGATGGGGGAAGGGGACAGAGAGAGAAAGAGAAGAAGAGGATCTAAGACACCCTGATGGAATGGTGATCTGAACCAAATCAGAGCGATATGGAGGGGAGAGATGATGACTAGCCTTAAATGTATACAAAAGTATTTTAAAATTGCTGCGATATTTGACTGGAAGCCAATGAAGCTGCTACAGGACAGGGGTGATGTGGTGAATAGAAAAGTGTATATACACATA